CACTGATGTTAACATTGACAACCCCCCAGGGTCTTCAGAGGACCCAAACCACAGTGGCAAAAAGATTCTGAGAGAAAAAAGTGTGGCTGTTGCACCTGAAGAAGAGTTAGTTGTGGAAAATATGGCCACTTCCCTCAGGTATGTGGAGGGCCTAATTAAATGGACAAATATGCAGACATTAGATGGGGTGACTTTGTTTTTAATTAAGTTCTGTGCCCAAAATGGGGCTTCAACTTACGACTTTTGACCCTGAAATTCAGAGTCTCATGCTCTACCAACTGAGCCAGTCAGGCACTGCCTAGGTGGGATGACTTTTTAAGATGTGTTCTAAGCCTAAAGTTCTGTGGATTTCATCATGATACCAAAAAGAAAGAGGGAAGTAGAATGATGAGGGTGGGAGTTGGGTTGTAATTGTCCATATGAACTTTGTTTAATAAATAATAGTAACTTTTTAATTTATATATGTGCAGGAAAGGACACATTAGAGGTGACTAAAACCACTTCCCCGACTTTCATCCCATAGCTTTGTTTTGCCTGTTTTTGAACATGTATATGTACAGTGTTCTCTCTTGTGCCTGGCCTTCTCAGCATAGTGTCAACACTTTGTGGGACTCATCCATGCAGAACTGAGCTGTTGTATTTGGATCCTTCATGTTGGCATGTAGTGGTCTTCCGTAAGAATCTGTGGTTGTATCTTCCTGTCTGCACTATGCATACCCACACTCATGAGCACCCCAAGGTGTGTGTGGATGCCTGCGCAGACTCCCAAGGAGGTTGCCCTGACCTCTAAGCTGGGCCCTGGTCCTTCCTGCCTGGGTAGTATATGCTCCTACATTAAGATAGACTCCAAGTGAAGGCCTGAGGGGGTGGGAGGGGAAGTGGCATGAGAGGTGGCTGTGGTGCCAGAGAGGCAGTGTGGACAGCCCTGGAGAGGCAAGCCAGGCAGATGCCCTGCAGCAGGGTGTTGGGCAGCATTTCCATAGCGGAACAGGCCACCTTTGTTGCTTCCTGAGCTGCCCTAGAGACATGGAAAAGGCAGCTCACGCCTTTGGCCAGATGCCTGATGGCCTTTTAGGGTAGTTCAGCCTTGGCAGGGCCTGGTTCCCTTCTGAACAAGTGAAGGGCGGGGGGCAGCAGAGGGGGCTGCATTGACCAGTGTTGTTGTCTCAACAATCTAGAGGCCCACACTGGTTAGTGCCTTTGCTTTCCTCCGAGTCCCTGCACGCGCCTGGTGCCTGGCTGGGCTGCCCCTTGCAGGAGCTAGAGGGAAGGCTGGAAGCTGGGAAGCAGTGTGCCTGTATTCCACTTCCCAGCTCTGCTATGGATTTGGAAAAGTCATTTCCAGATTTCGCTGTGCCTTAGGCTCCTCTGAGTGCTAATCCAGTGTCCTGATCTTACGGAGGCCCATGGTGGGGGAGCAGAGGAGGGGGGCAGGGCTGAGGCAGAGGCCTGGCCTGGTGTGAGCAGAGAGCTGGAGCTTGTTTCCTTATATGACAGTGGCTGGGATGGCTCCAGTGGCTTCTGCATCCTCCTTTGTCCGTCTGGTTTGAGTTCCGGGGAGGCCTTGCCGGGTGGGGTCAGGCAGCTTCTAGGAAAGGAAGAGCCCCTGGTCAACCTCTGCTGAGCCCGAGGGCCCCTTTGCTTGCTCCCTGCACAGTTTGGGTGTTATTTAGGGTGAGTCTTTGTGTTTTCTCCTCCGTAGAGTACGTTCTCAGCCTAAAATGAAAAAGTGGTCCCCTCCCCTGCCCCTGTGTCCCAGTGGGAACTGAGAGCACGGGAGACTGTTTAAAAGGCAGGGGCCATCAGAATGAAAGGCAGTGAGCAGGCGGGGACAGCGAGGGGGGACATGCCACCCTCAGATGTGGGTTGCTTTTCATCCATTCACCCAGAGCTTTTTATGGTGCTTTTCTTCTTTTCTGGACAGCAGCCCTGTCCTGACCCACCCAGCCTGCTTCTTCCCTTCTGGAACCACCCCGGCTCTGCTCTGCTGGCCTGCCAGCACCCCCACCCCCAGGTTGGTCCCTCCCCGCCCTCTGCAGGGTAAAGGAGCTCCCACACAGGCCTGGGTTTGGGATTAATGAAGCCCAGATGCAGGACTTTTGACTCTGGCTAGAGTTAGCTTTGGAGGAGCAGCACAGAGGGGCCGTTTACCTCCCACTGTGTTCCTGGCCCAGCTGCTGCTGGGGCTCACAGGGAACAGCTGGAGAGCAGGTCCTGGCTGCCAATAAGGTGGAAGCCATGCAGGGTGTGTGGTGTGGCCAGGGCTCCGGGAGAAAATGGAGGGTGGGGCTCTGGGTGAAGGGCCAGGTCTGGCTGCGCTCACAGAAGTCTGGTGTGGAGGATGATGAAGGACTCCTATTTTCTATCCCATGGGGCTAAACCACACTGCCTCTCCACAGTCTCAAAAGGTCAAGTGGGAACACGAAGTTCTCCGCAGAAAGGGTTCAAGGCTAAAGGGAGACAGGGTCAGGGAGGGCCCCACGCTGGTTAACGTCAGCTTCCTGATCAAGAATGGATGGCTGGTGCCTCTCTGAGCTGCCAGATAAAATATAAACAGTGCAGGGGGGAAACTTATGCTAAGAAAATTATTCTTGTTTATCAATAAGAAATTCAAAGTTAGGGGCGGCTGTATGGCTCAGTCAGTGAAGCATGTGCCTTTGCCTCAGGTTATGATCTCAGGGTCCTGGGATCGAGCCTTGTGTCAGACTCTGTGCTCAGCAGGGAGTCTGCTTCTCCCTCTGCACCTCCCCACCCCCAGCTCGGGCTTGTTTGCATGGGCTGTCTTCTCTGAAATAAATTTTTTATAAATCTTTTTTAAATGTTTAAAAAAAATTAATTCAAGTTGAATTAGGCATCCTATATTTTTACTGGCTAAATCTGGCAATCCTGTCTCCCCCAGCACCTGAATTTCTTCTTTAAGTAATAGTTTTATTGAACTGCAACATGCAAACAGAACAGAACCCAGACCACAGGTGGATGGCTCAGTGGATTGCCACAAGTGGAATCCATGTGAAACCAACACTCAGGTCAAGAAATAAAACATAAGCAGAACCTGCCCACCCCACCCCCAACCATCACCACTGCTCAGGTTTCCAACAGCTGCTATTTGGCCGTTTTTCTACTTTATATGAATTAAATAATGCACATGTATTCTTTTGTATCTGGCTTTTTTCACATGACACTGTGAAGATCATCCAGGCCTTTTGAATGTAGTTTTAGCTCACTGTCATTATGTGTAGGATCAAGTTGTATGGATACAGCCCAGTCTGTAGATGCATTCTGATGGTGTATTATAAGTGCACTTCCACCTTTGTATGTGTATATGTACCTAGGAGTAGCATTGCTAGGTCACAGGGTGAGCACGTGTTCATCTTTAGTTGATCTTGCTAAGCGGTTTCTTAAAGTGAATGTACAGTTGAAATTCCCACCTACTGTGTGTGAGCATCTCTGCTGCCCTGCACCTTCACCAGCACTATGCATTTCCCCCTCTTTCATGTCCTTTCTCGTGTATGGTGTTACTGCCTGCTGTTTTTTTTCTTTTCTTTTCTTTTCTTTTCTTTTCTTTTCTTTTTTATTTTATTTATTTTTCTTAAGATTTTGTTTATTTATTCATGAAAGAGACAGAGAGGCAGAGACATAGGCAGAGGGAGAAGCAGGTCCCTGTGGGGAGCCCGATGTGGGACTCCATCCCAGGCCCCCGGGATCACAACCTGAGCCAAAGTCACTCAACCACTGAGCTGCCCAGGTACCGCTTTTTTCTCTTTTTATTCAAGAGCCTATTGCTTTGTTGATCTCTCTTTCTCAACCAAGTGCTAAGAAAATCAGCAAGGCCCCTGGTTGAGGTACTAGCCTGCCCAGCCCCACTGGAGCTTTGAGGAGCCGCTCCTACCTCAGTTCCTCATCACCCAGGAGCCTCCCTCATGAGGCCTGGGCGGCAGCAGTCTCTACCCTAAGAAAGCTGCAGTGGAGACTGGACCACCTAGCCCAGAAGTTGACAGGCTGGATCCTGCCTCCCCAGAATACTTGCTTAGCATTTCCCAGTGCTGCCAGTAACACGCTGTCCGGGATGTCTAGTCTTTCAGTTCCTTATGGTGTCATTCCAGGGATATGGGTGAGAGCAGCTGTGGGTCCCTCTGGCAGGGGTGTTACCTGAGGGCATTCTCCTCGAAGGAGAAGATTCCAGCCCAAGTGTCTTCCTCATGCTCCTTGTTTCCTCAAGCTTCAGAACCTGTCCTTTGCTTCTTCTGATGGTGGCTCTCTGCAGGAACTATGGACTGTGACCACATCAAGGTCCATGCCAGAGGCTGACATCTGCTGCCCATGGAGGGGCCACCATGTGTTGATGTGCAAGAGAGATGTGACTCTCTTGGTGGAGACAAGCTGTGGCAGGGAGCATGGGCAGAGGAGGGGCCCTCGACCCCTCTTCCCATCACCCCCTCCAGTCTCCTCAGCCACCGCCCCCCAAGCCTCATCCTGGCCCACTCTGATGGGCCAGGCATGGCTCATATGCCCACCCTAGGTGAGCATGTTCGCCAAAGGAAAGTTGATGCTATGTGAAGGAAAAAGAAAAAAAAAAAAGTTTAGCCCCACTTTCCACTACCCCACTTTGGCTGAAAGATTCTAAGGCTACAAAGGACAGAAAAGGCAAAGGTGTATGCAAATGCCGTTGAAGGTTCCTTATCTCTGTATATCCACAGGTAAGTGTAGATATTGAGAGAGAAGGATCAACTAGGAAGGAAAACACTACTTCACCAGCCTCTGAAATTACTAGTAACTTTACTTTTTTTCCTTTTGCTTGTTTTTTAATTTTCCCATCACATTTTATTGCTTCTAAAATAAACAATAAATGCTATAAACCAAAAGAGCCAGGCAGAGTACTCTGGACAGCACAGCTTTCCCATGTTCACTGCTCAGAGTGTATCCTGCCCCCACGTGGACTTCTAGCCCACCCGCTGTGAGAGTGTCCCACCCCTCAGTTCCTCTAACTCCTTCCTTCACAGGCAGCTTCGAAGCCAGCTCAGCCTCGTGATCATTGCCCAGATGCTGGACCAGCAAGAGATGCTCCCTCTCTGGGAAGAGAAGACCCAAGTGAGTCTTTGCCTCAGCTGGGCAGTAGCCATTGGGTCCTGGAAGCCTGTGGGTGAGCAGAGGTCTCTCCCCTGAGGCCTGCCTACTCCTGCGACTTTTCTCAGGCCCGGAGAGTCAAACTGAGTTTGAACTTTTCACTCATATTCCTGCATTCAACACTTAACTGTTTTGTACGCCTTCTGTGTGCTAGGCACTGAGGATAGAGCAGTGAGCTGGGAGCATGTGTTACTTTTGTGTTTTTAGTTGTGGTAAAATATGCATGACATAAAATTTACCATTTTAATGTGTTTTTTGGTTTGGATTTTTTTTTGTTTTTGTTTTTGTTTTTTTTTTACTATTACGACAATTTTAAGTGTAGAATTCAACCATTTTGAAGTGTACAATTCAGCAGCACTAAGGACATTGACGATGCTGTGCGGCCATCACCACCATCTATCTCCAGAATCTTTTTTCATCATCCCAAATAAATACTCCATACCCATTAAACACCAATTCCCATTCCCTCCTTCCATTACTTTTTATAGGAGGAAAAACCAGTGGAAGTGAAGACAAACACTATGCACTTAGAACTACTACAAGTGCCTCTCCTTTTCCAGTGTTAGGCATTCTTGGGGCAGCAAGAAAAGTAGAGCTTTGTCTTCTTTCCCCATTCCTCTTCCCCCCAGAAAGCTCTGACCACAGCCTCCGCAGATCAAGGCCCTAGGGGCAGTGTGGGTCCCGGCCAGTCCAAGAATGGGTGGCAGAGAAGCTGAGCATGCTCTCTCCCTTCCCCCTAGGATCCCAGAGTAGTTGCTGGGTACAACTGAACCTTCTGGCTCAGCAACACGAGAGGGGCAAGGCAGTCCCTGCGAAGGGCTGTGTGTCTCCATTCTAGAGGTGTACTAGGCAAGCCTGTGTAACCCCTTGCCCAGAGTGCTGAGAGAATGTTCCGGCACATCCCAGGGCAGGCTGGACAATATAGCTGAGTCTGCAATGACGTGATTGTAGGGCGGGTGCTCAGAAAGCTGACTGGTTGTGTTGGCTTTTCAGAGTGGGCTCGGCCTGGCTTTTGCCCTGGCTGCCCTCTTTACCATAAATACTTTCTTCCTAGGACTTAGCATGGCTGGGGCTTCTTGTCATTCCAATTCCTGCTAAAATATTTAATTTTAGAGGCCTTTCCTGATCACCCAATCCAAAGTTCCCTGGTACCATCACCCTGTTTTAAATTATTTGTATTTATCTCCTGATATTTTCTTATTTATTTGGTCAGAGTCTGTGTTCATACACACACACACACACACCCAGCAGCAGCATCTTGAGTACAGAGACTAAATGCTTTCTACTTACCACTGCCTGTTGGCATCTAGCACAGTGCCTGGCACACAGGAACTCAGCATATGCTTGTGGAGTGAATGAGGCTGAGGTTGAGTTCCTGGAGTGTGCAAGAGGAAGGTCCCTTTCCCCAGAGACCTGGGGAGGTGTGGGGGAGGGAGTGGCCTGCACTGGGGTCACTTCACACAGGTGAAAGCCTGACAACAGAGCATCTCTGAAGGAGGAGAGACCAAACAGTGTCTTGGGGATGCCAAGCAGTTAGGAGTGGGGACAGGCAGAAATGCAATAGACAAGATCACAGGGCCCCAGAGAGCTGTGGATGGCAGATGGGGGTCGCTGAGCCCCAAGGAGCATGTTGTCAGCAGAGCAGGGGGGAAAGGCCAGAGCATCAAGATCAGCATTTCTCCAGCTATGGGTGAAGGGTAGAGATCACCACCCACCTGCAGGGTTTCGCAGTGACCAAAAGGTGGCTCAAGAATCAGGGTCAAATGAAGGCTTGGGCTTTGTTTTGATTGGTTTTTTATTGCCTAGAGCCAGTACATGGGAGAGTGAGGGGAACATAATGGAGACTAGAGAGTCAGGAGGGGAAGTGCTATGGAGGAAGAGCTGGGTTGTCTGGGCCTGGTGGGCCCTTTAGGGGAGGCAATGAACAGGGTTCCTCAAAGTGGGGATGTCTCCCTGGGGGAGAGCTGGCCTAGGAGCCCCCAGCTGCTCCCCAGAGCCTGCCAGGGCCAAGCCAGGCCCACCTCTGCCCAGCTCCGGGGCTTTCCAACCATACTAGTCACCCACATTCCCACCATGCACCCATCTATTCAGGAGACCCTAGCTAATCACTGCCTGTGTGCCAGGCTCCGCACCAGGAACCAACCTCGGAACAGAGGGTGTGAGCCAGGTGGGCCGAGGGCGCAGTGACTAACTCTGCCTGAGGGCAGTGAAGTGGCTTCCAGAGAAGGTGTCCCGAGCTGGTCTCAGAGGCTGAGTCAGTGCTGGTGTTGCAGAGGAGTCTGCAGGCAGGCATTGCAGGCTGTGCACAGCTGCACCAGCCTCCTGGCAGCTCTAGGAGGGGAAGGACCAGCTGAGGCCTGCCTGCAGCCCTCCCTGCGTATTTCCCCCATCTCCACTGCAGGCCTGGGGCTGCTGTGTGGCACCTCCTAAGTCTGCGGGCTGCAGGCACTCCCCTTTCCAGTCTGGCCTGTCAGACAGATCCTCCCCTTCAAAGGGCCACCTTGGCCCCCGAGCCGCCCCTGGCAAACCCCCTAACGCCCCTTTTCCCACCTTCTCCTTGTGGCCCACCTGTGCCACCTGTTCTTCTTGGCCCTCCTTGTGGGCCAGCCTCACACATTCTGAGCACAGCTCTGTGCCCTGACCCCTCCTTCCTTTCCATCATCACATCCCTGCCAAAATGGTGGCAGCCAACACTCTGCATAGTACAGGCCATGTCCCAGGTGCTAGTCTCAGAGCTTACCTCTCATAGCAGCCCCAGACAGTAAGGACTGTTACCATGAGACGTTTTTCACAGATGGGAACACTGAGCCAGGTGCAGCTAGGAAACTCCACAGGGTCATACAGTGGGAAAGCTGTGGAGCTAGGATTTGAATACAGAGTTCTTGTTCTTGACCACCGCAACATACTGTCTCCACTTTTCCGGCCCCTTCCTCGGCTTTCATTATGGTGACAGCCCAGACCACATCTGCCACTTTATGCTGAAGCTACCCTGTTTTATCCTAAGTAGCAGATAGAAGGACAAGAGCTGCCCCTTCTACTTCCTTTGTTGATGTATAAGTGCTTGATAAACCTTATCAATTAATTGACTATGAAGGGGAGTCCAGGGGTTAAGAATTGACTCCTGTCCAGGTACTCTGTGGTGACTACCTGGACAGAGGCCTTTCAGGGCACCACTAGGTACCTCTGGATGGCTTCGCTCTCTGTCTTAGGATACAGTCTAAAGCCCTAGGAACAGGAGCTGAAGAATTAGAATTTGAGGGATGAGACTTCTGTAGGTGGTCAGGATGCAATACCCCAAGGCTTGCATTTTCCAGGAGAGCCTTGGGATCAGGCTGCTTCCTGTTGTCCTTGGGAATCCTGGAAATATCCCAGAAAGAGCAGAGTTTTGGCTTCATGCACCAGTGTGCTTCATACCCTGCTCAGGGCACTGAAGAGAGCCCTGAACAGAACTCAGTCCCTCCCTTGTGAAACTCGTGATCCCGGGAGGGGCGGCAGGGAACAGACACAGGCACCAAGAAAAAAGAAAATATTTGCCATACCAGATGGTTATACGGGCTCTGGAGAAAAATGAAGCCAGATAAAGAGGAGAGGGAATGTTGGGAGATGGGGACATTTGTGCACAGAAGTGAAGAAGTAAGGCAGGTTTCCCGGGGAAGAGCCTTCCACACAGGGAACAGCAAAGGGCAAAGGCCCTGGGGCAGGCAGAGTTCTCTTAGGTTAGAGGAAAAACAGAGGCCACTGCAGCTGGAGCAGAGGACCAAGGATGGAGTAGTAGAAGTTGAGGTCAGACAGGTAAGTGGGGATTCAATCCGTCAGCATCTCCAGGCTATGGTAAGGGCTTTGACTTTTTGCTAAAGAGGAGAGCCATTGGAAGGTTTTGATAAAAGAAACAATCTGACTTATAAAATATTTTTAAATTATTCTGGCTGCTATGTTGAGCATAGGCGGTTGCAATAATCCTGGAGATAGTGGCGTAGGTGGTGAGAGGTGGTCCAACTCTAGGTGTATTTGCCAAGTCCAGCCAGTGGGACAGGAGATGTAAGAGAAGGGAGACGAGGAGGGCTCCAGGGTCTATGCAGCTGGCAGCGTGAAGAAGCCCTTTACCAAGATAGGCAAGACACAGGTGGAACAGGTTTGTAAACAAATTGGGAGTTTGCTTCTTATCCCAGGCCACCTCTTGCAACACAGCAAACCTCTTTTGTCAAGCCATGACTTTCAGTTTGGAGTTTGGAAGACATGAGCTTTAAATGGCCGAAACGGAGGAGGACAAGGGTCTGCATTTCCTGGGGAGAGGCTGGCTGCAGCCCTGCCCTGCATGCCTTCACTGAATGGGTGCTTATGAAACACATGCCACATGCCAGGGGCTGTGCTCGACTCTGGGGACACTGCAGTGAACAAAACTGCCCTCCTGGGCCTTACATGCTAGTGAAGGAGAGGGGACAGATGATAAACATAACGAACAAGGAAATTACAGAACATGTTAAGAGGTGGTAAATGGGGTAAAAACAAAAGTAGTTTGGGGCAAGAGGAATGGCAGGTGTGGGTGGCAGGTTAGACAGAGGGCTGGAGCTAGAAAGAGAACAGGGACAGCTGTGCATGTCTGGTCAGAAGGCCTGGTTGGGATGCAGGCCCTAGGGAGCAGCAAGGCTGCCTGTGCCTCACAGACCCTTAAGATCCTGGCCTTCTCCACTGGGCAGATAGAAGCACGCGGGGTCTGAGCACTGGAGTGACTGACAGTGTGGACAGTTGCCCAGCTGGAACTTGCCTACCTCCTGCCCACCCAGCAGACAAGACCAGTGGAGGCCTGCCTTCTTGGGTGATCATTTGCCTCTTGCCTGGAGGTGTCTCTCCTAATGGGCTGATTGTTTGCAGAGACAGCTCCCAGCAGTGGGGGTGAGGTGGGGAGGTGCAATGTCAGGCCCTGGCCCCGCTGGGACACATGGTCCAAATAAGTCCTTATCCTGGTTTACCAGGGGTGTGGCTTACCAGAACTGGAAACAAAAGAGACCAAGCAATCAGAAGGCGGCAGCTTGCTGCGCTGAGCAGGGTGAAGCACTTTTCAAGGAGAGGAGAAAGATTGGAGCTAGCAAGCGAGCTGAGCCGCTGATCTGCTGTTGTGTACTCTGCCCAGCCCCGCCCAGGGCTCCTGTAGCTGGGAGGGTCTAGCTGGGGCGAGGCTGCCTGCCTGAGGATGGCTTCTGGGGGCGTGGGCTGCAGTCTGGCCCCTGTGCTTGGACAGCTGTGATCCCCAAGCAGGCAGGGCTGTTTTGGAAACCCTCCCCAGCTTTGCAAGACCTGAGTGAGATGGCATAGCTCAGATTTTGGTAAAGTTCCAGATGGTGCCTGTCTTCGCCTAGAACCTTCTCTCTCTCCCTGCCTCCTCCTCTCCCTTCCTAAAGGGATCAGACACTAGGCCAAGAAGCCCTGGCCCCCTTCCAGGAGCCAAGGCCCTAGGCCTGTCTCCTAAGTCTTCAGCCCAGCTGCTCTTGTGGGCTGTCTAAGCCTGTGGCCCGCTGAGATGCTGAGCAGGTGTCTGCAAGTGAGTCAGGGAGAGGAAGCCAGGTGTGTCGGGCAAGGCTGGGCTCGACCAGGGAGCAGGACTGGGGGCTCCGGCCTAAGCCCTTTTGGCCACACTGCACCTGCTACGTCTAAAAAGATGGTGCCTCTGTGAATTCCACTGGCTCAGTTTCTTCATTCTGCATCCCCTTTTCCCAGGTTGCAGGTGGCCCAGACGGGCCAGGACCCAGAAACTGCCTGCCTCTGTCCTGACCACAAGTTAGCTCCAGGGCAGCTGGGTGGTCCATGTTGGGTCCATGTTGGGCCCAGGCTGCCCAAACCAGGTGCAGCCACTAGGCCAGGAGTGGCTCACTGCAGCCACCTGGGCTTATGCTGGCGCTGTTCCAGGGAGGGGTGGGAGCACTCCCATTTGTTCAGAGGGTAAGCAGTTTACATGGGGAGGGGTGGGGCAGTTAGCAGATTAAGTGACATATCAACCAAATGCAGTGTGTGGACCTCTGGGAATCCTCATCCCAACAGCACAACTGGTAAGGACATTTTTGAGACAATCAAAGAAAACGGAACATGGTGTTAGATTGCATAAGGAATTCTTGATAGTTTTGGGCAGGAGAATGATGCAGTGACCATGCTGGGGAAAGAAATCCTTATCCTTTTTGGTGAGAAGCTCTTTATGGGTAAAATGATACAATGTTTGGATTTGCTTTAAAATCCCCTGGAAGCAAAAGGGCGGGGGCGGAGAGATGGGGGCAGGCCGACTGATGTGGAGCATGGAGCCAGTGCAGCCATCTCGAGAAGGGGGCGGGTGGTACAGAGCCTCTGCTCCTCCCTAAGCCTCTAGCCAAGCCCACAGCAGGTTCAGTGAAGAGAGGCACCAGAGCAGCAGCTCAGGGTGAGAAGAGTCTGGCGCTCTCCACTGGCCTTGGTTCTTTCAGGCCTGAGTGCTTACCCCAGAGAAGTGGATCAAACCGCCAACCTATGCAGATCTTAGTTCACTCCTTTCAAGGAAGACTCAGCCTGTGCCAGACACCATGTGCACGTGTGACTCTCCTCTCTTGGAGGACAACAGGTGGTTGTCTCCATCTTACAGATAGGACACTCAGGCTCCAAGAAGCCATACAGCATGCCAGTGAGAGGTGGAGCCAGGTCATGGAAGCTGGTGGTCTGGCTCCAGAGCCCAGGCTCTGACCTGCTGGTGCTGACTGAGTCCCCAAGTGTCCCAAGCACCCTCTGTGTGACAGCCTCTCTTCTCCTCCCCAGCTGTCTTCACTCAGCCAGCTCCTGACCCTCATGAAGCCATCATCCCTCAGGCAATATCTGGGCTCTGAGACCTTGCCACCCTGCCGGGAGCAACAGCCAAAAGCCAGTGCTGAACTAGACCACAAGGTGAGCACCTCGTGCCTGCTCTCCTCAACCAGGGTATGGCACCACCAGGTGGCCAGGAAGGCAGGGCCATCCACACTGCACAACCTGTATGTAGGGCCTTATTGCTGCCAGGCTTCCTGAAAGCCTAGGGCCTTAAAATTCCAGCAAGCTGCCTCCCTCTGGTGAGAGGAGGTGCTCACCATCTCCGCATAGCCTGTAATTAGTACCCTTGCTTGCACCCCTCTCACAGGTGGAGTGGGGCGCTGTGTGCACAGGCATGCATGTCCCAACCCCCTAACCCCCTGGCCTGCCCCTGGGTTTTGCTGCATCTTCTATAGTCCAGTAGGGATGTGTTAGCATGGGGTGCTCCATTAGTCTTAGGTTAGAGAGGATGCGGGAGCTGAAATGCTGGTGAGGGAAGTGGAGCTGGGCATCTCCTACTGCGCCACTAAGGCTGAGTCCTTGGCCTTTCCCAGGTTCTTCCTTTTTTTTTTTTTTTTTTAAGATTTTATTTATTTATTCATGAGAGGGGGTGGGGGGAGAGAGAGAGGCAGAGAGACAGGCAGAGGGAGAAGCAGGCTCCATGCAGGGAGCCCGACGTGGGACTCGATCCCGGGTCTCCAGGACCACAACCTGGGCTGAAGGCAGCGCTAAACCACTGAGCCACCCAGGCTGCCCTCCCAGGTTCAACCAGGGGCCGTGGTATGGGAGCATAGGGGGCTTCAAAGTGGGATCCCCAAGCCTGGCTCTGGGAGGTGGGGAGGGTGGGGTTGTGTGGATCTCTGTGAGCTCCCCTATCCCCCGGGCCTCAAGGATGAGGAATGGAGATAAAGATCTTTCTAATTTAAGAAAGTAGTAATTCCAAAAGCTCACTTGGAGGTTGGATGTTGACGATCCAGAAGTCCACCCTTTGGGCATTCGCTCTGCAAATCAGATAAATGAATTAATTTACTTAATGAACACAAATGAACCATTAAGAAGATATGATAATCCCAGGTGTATGCTCCTCTCCTGGAACATGGAGGTAAGGTTATCTTTGAGTCTGTGCCTAATATTAGTGCATTTATGAGCCTGCCGCCTGCCTCCCAGGAGAGTATGAGCTGTGTGCACGCCCCGTTCTCATCTCCCAACGATTTCCTGGGAAATGAGCTGTTTGTGGCAAATGTGTTTGGATGTTCCAGGGCCTTGCAAAAGCAGTGGGGTCAGCTCATGGGTGGGAAGGGTCTGTCTAAGCAGGACACAAGCAGGCAGGCCCCAGGCAAGGCTGAGGGAAGAAAAAAGAAGAGAGAAAGAAGGGGAATGGTAGCAGAAAAGAGGCCTGTATCTGATCTACCCAGTGAAGAGTGTGCACTTCACACACTTTGGAGGCCACTCCTGTGACCTCACTCAGCACAGCTGTGACCACCAGGATGGAGGCTTCCACTTGGCTCCTTGCTTTTTGGAGCCCATCTGGTAGCAAATGTCTCTTTAGCAACCAGGGAAGGAGTAAGTGGCCTGAGGGCGTCCTTTATTTTGAGCACTGTTCTCCTGTGTGTAAAGGAAGCCTTTGCCCCTGGTCAGCTATGATAATGGAAGTGCCCTGTGTGTCTCGGCAGGGTGTCCCCAAAAGCAGGGGTATTGGCCCAGCCCAGGGCAGTGAAGGGGGCATCTGAGGCCAAAGCAGTCCTCCAAGGTCTTTGCTGTAGCTCCAGCACCCCCTAGGACTGAGGGATGCCTGACAGGGAGGTAGCCAGGAGCCCGGGAGGGGAAGGAGCACTGGCCTGGAAGGGGAGGAGGCGAGGCTGGTGCAGTGGAGGGGGCCCTGCACAGAAATGGGAAGCATTCTGTCCCCCTGGGCGGGTGCTGATCAGGTGGGGCAGGTGCAGGGCTCCCACAGCCCAGCCCTGCCCTGCTCCCACCTTGGCCAACTGACTCCTCATTAGGCCCCAGCACGTTTCATCTTCAAAGATGATCAGGCTACTCACCAGCCAGAAAGAGCAGCGGCGTCACCCGCCCAGTTTTACAGGGAGTGGTGGTCTGGGCCTGGGCTGAGCCTTTCATCCCTAGTGCTCACAGAGTCTTTGTCTTCCTTCTCTCCAGGGGTAGCGGGGAAACTAAGGCCAGAGTGAGCTTGCCCCCAGGCAACCCAGCCTGCAGGGGACATAGGGCTTTCCCAGCCCTGGGGGCTGCTGGGCTGAGCCCCATCCCCCAGGCCCTACTCACCCTGTCTGGGAGATTTCCTGTGAGAGGCTGGGTGACAGCCCTCCTCCAGCCCTGTAGATAAACACTTCTGCCAGGCTCCCCTCCCCCTGCTCTCCCCATCTCCTCCTTTGCCCCACAGCGGGGTGTGTGTGTGTGTGTGTGTGTGTGTGTGTGTGTGTGTGTGTGTGATGCATAGCCCAATCTCCTCCCTCTTAGGAAGCTCCCAGCCTTCTTCCCCTCCCTGGCCTGCCCTCCCTTGGGGTTGGGCAAGTGAGCTGCTGCCTGGTGCCCAGGGCCTGCCTGTCTCTCCTCACTGATCCTGTGGCTTTGCAGTTGACCCTTGACGGGTGGGTCTCCTCAGCTAGACTATGGGCACAGCGGGGGAGGGGGGGCTCTCCACAGCCACCATATATTTGTCACTGGATAAGTGAATGAATGAAGAAATGAATGAATGCAATTTGAGTTCCTCTTTTCCTCTCTGAACTCTCTTCTTCCACCCCATCTAGCCGTCCACTCTCCTACCTCGTTTCCAGAGACCTCTCCCACTGCTTGCCCTCTAACAGGCCTCTACCCCTCAGCCCCCTTCTCTTTTAAAGTCCTTGTTTCATTAAGTCCACAAGGGTTTATAGCCTGCACGTCTTGTGTTGGAGGTCCTTGACTTCGGAAGTGCTACCCGCTTATGAGAAAACCAATCACAGCACATTGTAATTATAAGCTGGTGAGATTCCTGCCTGGGAAAGCTAACAGCCAAGGACAACAGAAACAGCAACCTGGTCCTGTAGCAGCACTGCAGGGAGGCTGAGGGGGCAGCCTGAATGGGCTGTTCAGAGAGAGGTGAGTCAGAGCACAAAGTGTCCTGGCAAATCGAGGCATAGAATGTAAGATTCTGCTTCCTAGCGCGATGATGAGAATACTTTCAGCATTTTCAAGTGCTTTTGTTAAAGAAATGGTTGCTCGCCCCTGGTGGGGCTGTCCCAGAAGAGAATAAACATGGAAGTCAGAGTGAGGTGTGAGAGAAGTGGAGAGGATATTTTAAAGCAGGAGGTAACTCTAGACAGTGGGCCTCCCAGTGTTTCCCTTGGGTCCTTGGGTCCAATTCTGTCAGACACCAGGGCTCTCCCAGGCCCCTTTGTGTGAGCTTGACCTCTTGACCGCCCTGCAGACAACTGAGTAACTAGGCTCAATTTGGTACCATCTCCACAAAGCGCCCCTCTCAGGCTTCCTACCCAGAGCCAGGAGTTTCCTTTTCGGTGACTGGAATGAACTGTCTTGGGCCAGATTTTGGCTAGTAGATTTTTTCCAATCTCAGAGTGTTGGCCTATTCACGTTTATTGAGATTCTTGATGTTTTGGTCTTTGTTAGACCTGCCATTGTATGTTCTGTTTCTATTTACCACACTTTCCTGTTGTTTCTTGCTTTTCCCCAGGCCTTTTACTGTAGTGAAGGAATTTTTTTGTTCCATTTTTTTCTCCTGGGGATTGGTAAGATCTACAGAACAAGGATCTTTATGGTAGGATGTAAGTTTTTCCCCAGATTGGTTAAATTTGGGAACTTTGAGGAAGTTGAGTGTCATGTGGGAAGAAAATGGATCTCCACAAAGGGGGAAGTCCCAGAGTTGGGGCTGCATCGAGGCACTGGGAGCTGGGTTCGTGGCTCCTTGTCTTCATGGGCATGTCTTCCAGCAGCCTGATGAATGTCATCATGAGACAGGCAGCATGGGCATGGGGCCCACTGAGGGTTCTGCATCTGTGATAGTCCCTATTGCCCCGGGGCCAGCTGCAGGAGGCCTCACTACCCACATGGAGCCTGGGGACCACAGGTGGCTCCAGTCAACTTCTCACCGTGCACACTGCATGCTGTCCAGCTCTGTGCTTCCAAACCTTGGGGATGGCTTGTGTACTGGAGAAGCCTTGGGGATGGTTGTGTACTGGCGTGTATAAAGAGTTGATTTTTATGTGGGGGCGGGTAAGTGCTTTATGCTTGAGTGATACACTGGGGTAAACAAACTCTGCCCTGCTTCACAAACTCCTTTGCGCTCACTCCTGAGTCTCTGCACATCTCTGCAGAGGGTGTGGGCCTGCCAACACTGTGTGTGTATGTGTGTGTGTGTGCACGCGCGTGCACGCGCACATGCCTGACTGCATGCATGTATGTCTGTGTGCATATGTGTTGTGTATATTTGTGTATATCTTTGTGGTGTGCCCTCGTGTTCATAGAGTTGACAAACAAGTTTGACTGCTTTTGTTCCTGCGATGACTGCAGCTGGCCTGTCCCTGTGTCTGCTGACCCTGCCAAGAGCCCCAGAGTGCCTGGGGTGTGGTCTGGGAGGTTGGGAAGAGTGGGCAGGGGAGGGGTGCCCCTAGGGCCTGGCAGCTCTGTGCCTGCCTCCACTCTCCCGCTGGCACTCAACACCAGCAAAGGGACATACTCCCTCAGGCTCGGCTAGAGCGCAGGCCCTTCACCCTGTGTCACCCAGAAGCACAGGTGGAGAGGGAGCCTCTCCCTCTCTCCATACTACTCTCTGCCTTCTCACCTGCAAGTGCCTGTCCTTAGTTCCTGCACCTTAGGGAGAATCCTGCCCACAGGGTTGTAAAACTTGGTCAGAGTAAATGATAGATAGATAGATAGATAGATAGATAGATAGATAGATAGATACATAGAGATAGGTAGATAGATAGATAGATAGATAGATAGATAGATAGATAGATAGATAAAACTTGGTCAGGGCAAGATTAGGTGGGTTGGGAAGAAATGAACTGACTTTAAGAAACAGAAAATAGATCTTCAGGAATCCTGAGTTCCTCCTTGCCTAGTCTGTGTTTGGTTCCTCTATACTTCCT